TAGGGAGTTGGATTTGATGATTCTTATGGGTCCCTTCCAACTCGAGATATTCTATGATCTAGCACTCTTTATATTATGTATCTTTATATGAGTTCTTTAAAAAGCATTTGATATAGATGATTAGTATTGAAAATGTCCATACAAAATGCAATTGTGTGTTTTGATGAGTAGGTACATTGACTTTTTTCAGTGTGCTATTTTTGCAGAACAGGATGGGAGCTTTTAACTGTGCCTTGATTTTCCTGATCTTTCTTCCCAAGAAAGAAACGTTTGGAACCTTATTTTTTCATGCTGGGAAAACATACATGTAAAGGCAAAATGCCATATCCTTTCTTGATGCTACCATATAAGATAGATACCTACCTTGTCCTGAACCTCTCAGTGCTAAGAAAATCAGAAATAACTTAATGAAACATTGGCACTCTGGAAGGGAGCATATGCTAAAGTAACATATTGACTTGATCTTATTCTTGATATAAAATGCACTTAAGTTGAGAGGAAGCTTTCCTTTTAAGTTAAAAGGCCTTGAATCAGCATACGAGAGCAGAAGTAGAACAGTGTTTATTTTATTTTACAAATACTGTGACCCAGACCTGTCTCAAGTTTGTGGGGTTTTCTTTAGTTGGTCTGGTAGTTTTGGTCCCCTAAAGAAAATGTTCTTCAGCTGTTAGTAGTTTTTGGATAAAACTGAAGAACAGGGTAAGAAAAGGATTGCGGATTATGCTCTAAAAGTGCTAAAGCACGTGTGACTTCTCTGTTCAGCTCGTGGTTTTCACAGTCCAAACTTTTCTTTGTTTCAATAGTCAAACAGTTGCTGAGTAGCTCTTATAACAGTAAGGTCAAACAAGGTATTTTAAGAGAAAAGTGTTTTATAAGAATTCATGAGTTCTTTCAGAAGAAGAATTCTTCTGAAGGCTTTATTTTATTTTTATAACCGGAGAAACTGAGGCGAGAGGTTATGCCTTGCCTCAGGTTTCAGAGAGCCTAAAGTGCCAGAAAGAGCAGCAGTGGTGAGCAGGCTGCCCTGGCTTCTGAAACTGGCTCGGTGCATCTGTGCCTTGAAATTTTTTAGTCCCTCTGGCTGGCAGTGGGGAGGAAGGGGAGGTTGCAGGCTGGAAGTAAACTAGTGGTCTACTCAATGGTTGGTCATACCCAATAATGGCAGGCGGTAGACTTACATGTGTGTTAAGATTGAGAGCTTATTAGAGCTGGAAGTATTGGGGTTTGGGTTTTTTTGCTTTTTTGGTGTTTTTTTGGGGAGGGAGGTTCCCGCATTGAACCCTGACTTCTTGGTTGCTTGCTCTTTGGGTGTGGTGTTCTTTTAGAACAGTATTTTAACTGCTGTTATCCTGAGGAAAATAGCAGGAGAAAGACATGAAATTCCTAGAAAATGTAGCTTGATGAACGTATGTGGGTGTCTCATGGAGTAGGAGGAAAAATCTGTGTATTGTGATTCAGTAATGTCTTATGAGTGCTTCTTTTGCAGGGCTTTTCATAGGAAATTTGTTTATAAATTCCTTTTGCCTCTTTTGCAGTGGTATATGAACTTGAGTTGAGTTGGCTTGATTTTCTGTAATGTAACCTGACATGCCCAGTGATACAAGATGGCTTCCAGTTAATGCTTAAAGGGGGGGTTGTTGAAAACATACGCAGTCCTAGTTACCGCAGCCTGTTAATTCTTGTGAATGATACAAATTGTCTTTTCACAAGGTTTTTTCCTTTCTGTTAGTTAACTAACTTGGGTTGAATATTGCCTTTTGTCTTCCCTCTCTCCTATGAAAGAGCAAAAAGCTTCAATTCAGTGAGTTCAGGCTGGCAGAGTGCTTCCTGAGGCAGTGGCTTTAGAACAGGAACTTATCGTGTGCAACTCATTATACCCTAAATCACGGTAATGAGCTTCAGGTAGTGTTTGGATAGCTAACAATCCTGTGAATGCAAGAAGATGGCAAATCTAGAGTTTGGCCTTCGAAAATGATGAGATTACCTGTAGTAGACTTGCGTGTAGGTATCGTGGTGACTGTTCTGGTGATGGCTTCAACTTGCTTTTCATTTCATAGGTGGAGATACCAAGCCTTAATACCTGATGTTAAAGCAGAAACGTCAATTAGCATGTTGTTATAAATATTTACATTTCCCAAATCACAATATAATTACCCTAATAGTCTTTGTTCAAATTGCTGTTTAACACTGTTGCATATCAGATAATGTATTGTGCAGGTAATTAAACCTATAGAATCCAGTGGGTGAAAGCGGGTGTGGTACTGGTGTGTAGTGTAGTGGTGTTGTGGTTTATTGATAATGAGTTTGAAAGTGTTGTTAAAAATAAAAAAAAAACAGAAATCTGGTGCCCTCAAGATACAGTTGCCCTTATTCTATCTCTTGAGAGAGTCTCACCCCATCAGTAAGAGCTCAGCTGTGTGATTGTGTTGGTACA